AAAGAAGACATTTTGAAGAATATGGGTAACTAAACAGTTGTTGGTCCCCATTGCCTTCTATTGTAATGGAAAAAATACTATGAAATCAGTGGGGACCAGAAAGTGTTTGGCTACTCACATTCTTCAAAATATCTTCTTTTGTGGTCAACAGAGGAAAGAAATCCATGCCGGTTTGGAACAACTTGAGCGTGAGTGAATGATGACAGAATTTTTATTTTTGGGTGAACTATCCCTTTAACTGCATTAGTTTACTTTAGCAAACACTTTTTTTTTTTTTTTTTTTTTTTTAAACACATTTTTCAATGTAAATAGTTTATGTAAATTTAAAAATGTACTAATGCATTTATTAAATCAAAAAATTGTATCTGTTGTGAACAAACAATGAACAATGCATTTTTATTCAGTGTTGGGAGTTACATATAACAGCGTTACGTAATTTAATTACAAAATAAAAGTAACTGTAAAAATGTGTAATTAATGTGTAATTAAATGACAGTTACTTATGAAAATGTTAACGATTACAAAGGGGTTTGCATCTGAATACTTCTTGTATTGATATTTGCTATTTCTTGTTATGTGTTTAACCTCAAAACGATCTCAAAGTAAAAAGAGGTGCTAAAGTCTGATTTTGTGTTGGCTGTGCTTTTTAATTCAAGAAATGAAGGATTTTGAAAGTCTGACTGTAATCAGTGTTGAGTACTACTGTAAGGTTAACCCTGAAAGTGATTAACAGTTGAAAACATTCGTCAGAAATTTAGAAAAATAATCCAAATGTAATCAGTTACATTACTTTGATAAAGTGATTGAAATGGTTATGCTACTTACTTATTTTAAATAGGGTAACTTGTAATATGTAACCTGTTACATTTCTAAAGTAACCTTCCCAGTTTTTATTAACTAACATTAACATGGATTAATAAAGAAAATACATTGCATTCATCGCATTAGCTACTGTTAATTATGTCAACAAAGGAGACCTTATACTGTAAAGTGTTACCATTATTTTTAATAATTCAAATTTAAACTACATTTTTGATCGCCATTTAATGATAAAGAACAATGTATGTGAAAGAACACATAATAAAAAGCCACATATTGACCTGTAACCAGATGGTGAAGATGCAGCTCATTTCCACACTAATGCATCTACAGAACAAGCACACATGCTCTCTTATGCATTGATTCTCACACAGCTGAGGTGACCTCTGCTAAATTGTTCTCGTCTCAGGGGAGCTAAATGTGAATCATGTGCCGCTGCTTGTAAATATGAAAAACTTTTCTGTTCAAAGCTGCATGCATGTTGGTCTTGTATAAGCTCCGATTTTGAATGGCCCCAAACAAAGACAGCATTTTTGACACCGACAGCCTGCCAAACAAATGATCTGGCATGTTGTTCTCTTTAAATTGGGAAACTCTGTGACATTGTCCTGCTCGGGTACCTCTCAATCTATTATTCATGAGGTGCGAGTATGCATGCTGTGTAAACAACAGACTGACCTTCTGTGTGCACTGAGCCGATGTGACCACCCCAAAGTCCTAATGGACCGGCGGTGGCCTATCAACAACCCGCACCAGCTTACGAGCCCACTGATATGCAGGTTGCCTGGATACAAAAAGCATAATTAAATGTGATTATTATCCTCTTCACATTCAATCTGAAGTATGTAAGTGTTCTGGTTGTTGTTGTTGTGTTTTTCTGAACCATACAAATCCAGCATTCATCAAAGACAGAGGTCAGTTAAGGGAATAGTCAGCTGTGTGTCAGTGAACTCTGGGGGCTTGACATGAAATATGACTGGCCTGTTAGATGAATAGCAATATGTCACAATATTCTTATTATGATTATGCATTGGTCAAGAAGTGGAAGGCAACGGATTGTGCATTGGTTGCACTTTGGAAAATGTCTTGGAAAAAAGTGTTTAAGAGCTGATATTCTTGATAAAATATCAGAATACATATATTTTAATAAATTATGTGATTATATTATAATAATTTGTATTTTATCATTTAATATATTATTAAATTATAATATTAATTTATTATTAAAATAATACATTAATATCAACAATAACTATTTTAATATTAATGCTCTATTTAATACATTTAATAAGTGATCTGGTTTGTTACTATTTATAATTCATTAAATATTCCATAAATTAAATCAGCATATTAAAATTTGACCTAACAAATGTTCCAGGCCGAATGGAATAACATTAATGTGTCCAATAATATTTTAAAATATCTTCTGTATGATCCCTGTATGATCTCAAATGCTTCTAATCTATTAAAATAATATATCATAATATATTGTTTAATTATAATATATTGTAATATAATATACATTTTTTATATTTTCATATAATATATAATTGTAATAGAATAGAATAAAATATAAATTATTAGTATTATTAAATGCTAAATACTAGTATTAATCAACACTTCATAAATTAATCCTATTATGGATACTACAGTACACCATTAGTGGGATCAATGTAACATCCTTATCGTATCCAATAATATTAAAAATATTAATATTAAATAAAAATAATATTAAATATGTTCTGTATGATCCCAATCATATGTTCACATGAACTTAATCCCAGAGGTTTAAGTGAATAGTAATAATACTTTAATTTACAAACCAGCAAACTAATTGAAAAAAATGTGCCTGTAAATAATAATTTATCTATCCTTATCTATCCTATCTTCCCATCAGATTCCCAAATCCAGCAGATATGTCTGGGATGGATGGGACTGTGGAGGAGATGAATGGTACGGAAGTGGACAGCGAGAGTTTGCTGAGGTTCAGCCCTACATCTGTTTCTACCGGGGCGGCCGCTGCCTCATACGGACGGACTGCCAGTGTTTACGTCTACGTCTCCATCTTCCTCAGCTTGCTGCTCTTCCTGCTTACCCTGCTGATCATTGCTCTCCACAGGCTGAAGAACATCATATCCTCCAGCTCTTCATTTCCAGAATGCAGCAGTGAGGCCGGGAGCTCCTTCACTAACATGGAG